TTTTTAGAATGCAAGGTGTTCCACAAAGCATGGTAAATATGTATGTAGAATTAGGAAAAATTAAATACGAACGATTCTGTAATGGCCGAAATCACGGTGCTTAGTTAAACCATTGTTCAGTCAACCGCTAACAAAAGTTTAACTATTAATTTATAATCACAGTTACATATGTAGCTAGCTATGGAAATTCATATCGAATGAAAATATACAAATTCTAATAGCTCAACCAGCCACCGACGGAGCGCCCTTCCGTACCTGCTGTCCGTATCAACACGAGAATCTCATCAGCTGACACGTTCTACGGTTTTACATTGGTGGCTGGTTGTACTATAAAAAAATAATACTTTTCCATACAAATTTGAAATTGGTTTCGCAAAGAAATTTTTAAATTCACAAGAGTTCAACTACGGGAACATGCTGGTTTAAACTCTTGTTAACTGAGCACTGTGAATATCAAAATCGATAGATAGTGTTCAAAAAAGGAATTCAAATGTATTCGTGCTTATTAGCTGACACCCCGCCCGTTAATTCCCCACAGAACAAAAACGCCTATTCTGTTGCATTACTCGACAATTCTTTCATAGGCAATTTAAAACAGTTGAGTTATTTCTTCTTAATTTGCCGCATAATAGCCCACTTATTGTTAGATAATACACTTTTGTACATACATTCATACATACGTGCATATGTACATTCACGGCTAGCCACACACAAAATTTTAAACAATAAATAAATTTGAATGTTTATGTACCCACCAGTATGTAAAGATTTAAGTGATGTCAGCACCGCTGCAACTCCAGAAGCACTCCTTGTTATGCTCCATATGGGCGCAGGTGCATTTTGTCAAATGATGGCGCGAGCGTTGATGTCAAATTTGGCTGTCACATTAACAACTGAAGAGGCGTCCTCATTACACATTGGGACAAATATTTATGTATTTACGTGGTACATATGCATATGTACATGGTATGTATGAAAGTGGACCACGTACTTATTCATAAGTATGTATGTATATACATACGCACATTTTGTATATAGAAAATATAAGTATGTATGTGTTGAGTGTTTGTTCAGATTGTTCTTCAACGAACAAAGCGCCTTGGTACTAATCCGATTGACTACTTGTGTTGGTAAATATTTTACTTTAAATAACTGGTTTTTTTTCCTTCAACAACGATCTTTTTCACGCATTATTGCCATACAAATGAGATTTACTTTTCATCGCGCGTAATCACGCGTTACAAAAAAAAAACTGATTCTTGAGAAACCCAGATATCGAGCTTCTTCTGGTATAGAGTTTTATATACATCAGACCGTACCAGAAATAAAAAACCTCGACGTATACCCCTGTGGGACTATTCTCAAACGGGTTAGCGACAAATATCTTACCGCTATCTCAACCTTGCGACATCCACTACGGTTTGTCCGAGCTATTTCTCCGATTTGTGGCGGGCGTCTTCATATTGTCACACAAAGTTGAGGGACCTACGAACCTACCTGCGAACGGCGATTGTATTTTTATGAGAAGCTGCTCTTATTGCAGAAATACACTCAGAGGTTAGTCATTGCCTGCCGAGGGGCGACCGCTTTTAGAAAAAAACGTTTTCTTTTCTTTTGTTTTTATGTTAGTCGGAAACTGGGCTCGAACACAGGCCCTGTACTTACCCACCAGATCTCAGTTCTTACACCCAAACATACCACCCTAAAGTCACTAAATTAAAGCTCACCCAAAGTCTTAGGTTTTGGCTGCTTTCAAATTCCGTTGAAGTCCACGGATGCCACTAACAGAACGATTTGTTTAAGATTTGAAGCCGTGTTTTGTAAGTGAAGGGCGGAAGGAGTATTCGAGCTCGGATAAAGCACCACAAAATATGCTTATGTGTGTACTATATATAAATACCTTGCGAGTGCAAAGAGTTTTTCAGCGTAGGCATACAGCCTAAGCTTATTGAATACACATATATATACACATCAAATTTCCTGTAACTTGATATTTTTCACTTTCAACTACGAATATGACAGATATTTAAGATCCGTGTATATGCAACTTTAGTGCAATTCACATATTTACATAGGTATGTATGCACCTACTATATTAATATTCTGAAGGCAGACACAACTCTAAGCACTTCAGACTAGTCAATGCCGCGGATATTTTTAAAGACATCTCTTCAGAATGAGTGACAGATCAGTGAAAACTGTCACCATTTCAAGCACGGGAAATTATGTGACGATATTAGTTTACCTACATATAGTTAAGGTAAACAAATTATTTATATGCTAATGTACATATGTATATAGAATGGTTAGCCTATTTGTCGGTATTTTTCTAAATACATCAAAACAACCACAACATAGAAGAACTTTTTTGGTGAAATTAAAAATCCCTATAAATTACTCTATTTGGTTATATACTTAATTTCCTGACTCCACTATTTCTAATAAAAATAATACGCTTGAATCATCAACATATAAGGCCATGAGGGCCAGAGTAGCCTAACTGACATTTCAAAAAAAGTTGAGGTACTCCTTAAAATACATTACTAGAATCGAAACGGTAATAGCCCGAAGCAGGTGCAATGAACTTTTTAGTAAAATGCTTCCTTCTCATATTACAAAAAAAAAACTTTTATATAGGCTCCTCTTTCCCTCATATAAGAAATAAAAACAAAGGACGTTTCTAAACCTCAGCAGATTGTAATGCCAAATGTGCGCAGCCATGGTTAGATGCTAATTTTCAACCAGGTTGCGCAAATTAGACCTCTTTATCTAGTGCGGTTTAGAAATAAAAGAGACTGATGCTTTGTATTTTAACATTTTCGAGTGAACCCTTTCAATTCGAGAAATTTATTTATTTTTGTACGTAATACAATTGTGGAACGCTTTTTTCTGATACGGTTTAATGTGCATACATGTGTAAATATGTATATATGTAATTGCGGCTTAAACTATTTCTACAGCCAGTTTTAAACGACTGCATATTAGACTTCTGTTAATTTTAATAGATTAGGGTGAATTCCAAACCACTTTATGTGGCGCTACCCATAAGTATCCGGCTCGAAGTATTGATTCAGTATACACATACATATTTACTTGGGTACATATGTACGTACCTACACATGCACATTTATGTGCATTAAGACGCCTCCCGAAACAATTCCTGCTGCTGCTTCCTCCCACATGGTTATTCGTGATTTGGATACTTTTGGAAGTACATATTCTTGATAGTTCGGGACCCAAATCACGGCATCCGTGACGGAATAAAACTCTATACGAAATTTAATTTTGTCATTACAACACTAATAACGAGCTTGCCTTCTTACAATTTAAATTGTATTGTACAGCTGTCATTTTTGGAAATTGGAAATAAATTCTCTTCGAATATTCATATGGTAAAAAAAAAATTACCTATGCACATCCTATGATTTTTCAGTGACAAAATTTTTCGGAAGCCATTAGAGTCTAAATGGTCTAATAAAATTTTTAAAGAAAATAAAAAAGGGAAAATATTTTTTTATTGATACGTTAAAAATGAAAAGTTAATACAAAATGACCCGAAATCATCTGAATTACTAAATTGTATCGAATTGTTTCAAAAATTTAATTATTTTGAAAATGTTGGCAATTTTTTTTTAAGTCCTATAATTTATAAACTGTCAGGATTTTTAAAAAATTGGTTTCTTTTCATATATAATGCGATTTCAAAGGGTATTTTCAAGGGACGTGAACGTACAAAAAAATGTGGTCAACGGTTCCAACCGTTTTTGCACCTTTGGATTAGTTCGTCAAAACGGTGTTTTAGGCTCGATTCAATGATTCGGAAATTAAAAAGCAAATATATACATATGTATGTATGTATAGTTATTTTTATTTAGTACCAATCCAAAAAAGTATATGAAAACATACATATATGATTTATGTCATACGCTATATCTATGTATGTACGTAATAAACATAAGTACATACAATATATTTATCATATTTAACAAAAGAAAAAAGTGGGGAAGATTTATCTTTTAAATACTGGTCGAAGTGAACATTAAACCTTTCTAGAGAGTGGTTCGATTTTAGGTTCGGATCAAACATCTGGGGAACATTTCGGTGCGGTTAATGGTTTCGTTAATAAGTAGAAAAAATTGGTTAGCCTGGTTCAAAACCGGCTCACGTCCTGGTATTTTTCAACGTGGCCTAGCTCAAGCATAACGCTCAAATCGATGGGTTTCGTAAAGTCTGCCATACTTTCTTATGCGCTTAGAAAGACCGATTTACTTTCTATGTAGCGGGAGGCAGTCTAATGATCAAAAGCATGAGAACCATCAAATTGTATTGTTTATATTTGAATAAATCAACATTCATCGACCATCTAGTCGGGGATATTATGGCATACAACAAGCTGCTAGATCATCCAACTTCATTTTAGTGATGTTTCGAAGTTTTTGAAAAAAATAAAAATAAAAATTTAATTAAATAGATAGCGCCCCATTGGCTGAAGGATAGATGTTAGCTTTGGATTGTTTAGCTTTTGTTTGCTGTTTTCCTCCTCTTATTCAAATATTTTAATTTTCAACAAAACCAGTTGGTTGCACATTTCTTTCTCTAATGTTTATGTACTTATGTATGTACATTCTACATACATTCTTATATGCTAAACATACGCCTTCACATCTTAATGTAAGTCGGCTGTATACAGTTTTGTTGCATTTTATTTAATATTTACAAAGGTATGTATCTATGTATGTATGTGCATATGTGCACCCTTTGCGCCCAAGTCTTTTGTTTTTATAGGCCTGTTAATTGTGTTGTTAATGTTATGTTTAAGTGATTGTTAACGCAATCACATTCGTGTAAATAAACAAAACCATACCGCCACCCCTCGAACAGCTGTTGACTTTTCACACTTTTCGCATTTTGCGGTGATCCACATTCATAAAACAGACGAAATTAGCATACATATGTATGTATGTATGTATATTGTATATGATCGATGTGCATGCGTATGCACGTATGTGTTATAATTTGGTTTGTTTGATTTATCACACATGGTTTTACAAAAGAATTTGTGCCTCCGAATACCAAAATATGGCGTCACTAAACAATGCCTACTACTTCCTTTAGACAGGCCTATCCAATTTTTCATGGGAAAGGAAAACTAAAAAAAAAAACACTAAAGATTTAGACTTCGTTAAAACTTTCATTTTATACGTGGAAAAGAATATATTTTCAACATTTTCCAAGGAATCGTTTTCGTAACTTCACGTAGATACCCGTAGATAGATATTAAATTAGTGGTGTCTCGCTGGGCGAGTAACAGAGCTGGCAAAGATCGTTTGACATAAACAGAAAGAAATGTGCTTCCCTATTGGAAGATTAATTAAGCTTTAAAATCTCCTCTTGTTATACCCTCCTAGTAAACTCTGCCTGACGCATTCCTACCAAACTATGCCAGTTCATATCCATCAGTGTGTTCCTCTTCGTCCTAAGCTCCTCCTTTATAGTACTGGGACCTGCGCCCAGTAAGGGCCCGGGCCAACTGGAGTCACGGTTGTCGTCTCGTTACCTTCCAGTCCCATTTGTCAAGGTTGTACCCACGCCAACTAGATGTTCTTGTGCCAGCCAAGGGAGTTTAGCTTCTCCGGGCACTCAAAGACCAATGATGATTTGATTTCATAAAGTAAGAGAAACTTGAGTGCCGACTGTCTATCACTTAGGGCCGTTTGCACCATGTTTACCCAGCTTATAATATATTATCGATAAAGCAGTCGATGTGAGCTCGGTATCCTATACATATTTATGATTGCCTTCGCACAAAAGTAGAAGGCGTATACTGCAACTGGAATGATACTGGTGAATTTCATCATAGGAACCGAGATCCTAGTCCGGGTCCGTAGATTCCTTCTGAGGTCTTTGAGCGGGCCTCATGAAGGCGGAAAAGCTCCAGGTTTTTTTTCTGCATTACTATATTTTAAAAACTATGGTTCACCTAAGTCGTCTCTATGAAACAGAGCTAGCGGGAGCAAGGACCCTTCTGTTTTGGGAACAACTACACCAAAAACCCCTCTTCAGTAAAGCTATGCAGAGTTATTTACCTGTTCTATATTTATATGAAGAAGCTGAAGTACGATGACTACTTACAGCGTCGTCGTCGGGCATGTGTTATGAATACATACCGGCGAGCGGCATGGTCGCTGTGGTTTGGTGAGCGATTGTCTCACCTTAGCCAGAGTAGTTCTGGAAACCCAAACTACCGCACAATGGATTTTTTTTTTGTTGGAACCAGGCACAAACGCGTGCAGAGAACAACACTCTGACTACATGCCATTCATAGTACTGCTTTCATGTCCCTTTTAATCTCTTTTAAATCTAGACGATTTATGAACCAACCTAAGCAGAGTTGTTGGTGTCAAAGAGCTCAGATGTTCGTAGAATCACAAAAAATGTTCCACCCAGTTTCTGATGATGGTTATAGGGCTGGCCAATGCCTTAAGGGCAGCTTGGCTGTCACTGTAGTGACGTAAACTGCTTCCCACCTATTTTCCATCACGTAGTCCATGGCCTTGCGAATTGCAAATACCTCAGGCTGGAAGACCGAAGCATATACCCCAAGAAACAAGCGAAGCTTATCCCCATTATCTTCGATAAAAATCCCAGATCCTGAGTCATTTTTGGAGCCATCAGTAAACATTCGACAATGTGTGAGTCCGGGCTCAGTGGTGTAATTAAAGCAGCATTCAGCCTCAGGGTGATCAACATTATAGAATATCTTCAACAAAGGTAATCGTAGCGTACTATCCTAAGACATTGAAAAGACACATGTGTTCAGTTCTCTGCCACCAGCACTTTCCGCCACGCCCCACTCAGTGTTATACCAACATCGGTTTATTTTTAGTCTGGTTTCCCCACGTATGAGGTCATAAAGTGATGGTAAGGGCAGCAGTGAGTCAAGAGCAGCGCCAGGTGTAGTAGAGAGCCCAATAGGTTATTATTGGCTGCACTCAACTTTCCGTCCGTATAGCCTTGGCAGCGGATATCGTTGCCCAAGAGAAGCTGAAGGAATTCGTCCACCACTAAACTCCACAGAAGAGGCGATATCGACGTATCTTCTCCTACAAAAGCTCCACAGTTGCGAGATTCTTCGCATAAACACGAACTTTCGCATAGCCCCTCAAAGCAAAAGTAGGTCGATCTTGGTATTTTAACCCTCTTGCAGCCACCGAAATGCTCTTTATTGGACGTTCTCGAAATAAGGATTCATAACGATCCTTCTGTAAAGAAAAGGATTCGTTAAAATATTCTACAATAAATATTCCCCAGAAATTTTTTCTATGTATATGGTATGTATGCTCGAACAAAGTATTTCGCTCAGACTAAAATTTAAACCCTTTTCGGAGCCAAATTTAATAAAACAAACTTTTTACCTGAGATTGCAAAACACTTTGCGGAATTGAAATTATGTCGCCACCAGAGAACGCCCCTGGTGGCATCGCTCAACGTCATTTTACACAGCTGTTTCAGTTTGGCGGGCACGCCGTCTTCAGACATAGTGGCGTATAGGTATACTTATTCAAATTATCGCCAATAAAAATGCAACCATTTGCAACAATCATATGCTTTTCGTGATTGCAAATTCTTTCTGACTAAAATTTTTCCGGCAATAATTTGCAATTTCTCTCCAGGAGAACAGTCACTTCGCGCTCTCAGTTTTTGAGTGATGGATAATTTTTTGGTCTGCACGAACGCGATTTGGGCAAAAATTATGATAACTGGTACGAATTCGTACAAATTTTTTGCTCGACGAACAAACCTACCATTAGCTTAAATGTTGGCAAAAATTTGGCGAGAATAATAGTACAGCCTAGGCTTCGTTCTTCTTACTTTAAAGCTTTATAATATTCCTTTAATACCAACAGCCGCAGAATATGATAAACATTTTTCCCCCTCCTATTCATGACATGGACACTGTTAGAGTTGATTCTGATAGTCCAGTTTTACATGAAGAAACTTACCATAAGTCCGATATTTTTCAGAAAATGAGATTAGTTTATCGAAGGATGCATCTCTAATCTAAAGCGATCAGAAAATCCATGAACTGCATTCAGGGACCAATTGGTTTAAGCGAAATATGGATTAACAAAATGTCTCCGGTGGCATCACAAAGTGCGCAGAGTATCTTTCTGGGACGATTGCCTTACCTAATCTAATGGTGATTCGTTTCTTCCAAAAAATGGTGCCAAGATATGTTTGATGTTAGACTCAGTGCATGTGCCTATTTATTCCTGTCTGGCTCAGGAATACATACCAGAATAAAAGTGCAGAGAATGCTCCTTTTTTGCCTTACTGCAGTGCGACATTTTATGAGACGAACACAGAATTTTCACACCGGTTTGGAAAAGAGAAAGGGGCAGTCTAAAGATATATATTTTTTTTTTGTAGAAACGAAAACGCCATAAGCTAAACGAGTCAAGCCGGTTAGTTCCTACTAAATGTCTAAAAAATATTGAATAAATTTTTATGTACGAAAATACAAATTAATGAAAGTCCTCCGGATTTAAAACAAATTACTTTTTGTTCTTCATTTCCAGACATGGCCTTTTGGTTTCCATCACATGCAAACTAGCAGCAATAGTAGTAGTAGTAATCGATTGCAGACCCTTCAGTACTCCCCCACCGAATGGAATCATCATACACGCAATGCCTATTCCAAATATGGACGGATGTCTAATGGCAGCAGTAGCAATAATAATAATGGCATTTATCAGCAAGAATCAAACAATTTGCACCCACATCATTGGTATGCGAACGAAGAACCAATGGCAGAGGACATCAGCAACAATAACAACAATTGTACCTTTTTTGAATCGCAAGCGGAACATCACTTTAAACAAAATCATGAAATTTCACAAGTTCATCAGCAAATACTATATCATACAACAAGTCATACAAATACGCAAAGTTCGATACGATAAAAAAGGAGGTGCATATATTTATGTACATACATATATCGCTAGCTTAGAGTGAAAAGTTGTTAAGTCCCATTTTAAAAATTTTACAGAATAGGCAAAAAACTTCTAATAGCAATTTTCTTCAAGTATTTAGCACAATTTTGAATACAACGTTTTAGCTGTTTAAACCAAAGCAAAACTCCATTTGAATAAGAGGGATTCGATCTGTATTAAAAGATTTCGTACTAAATATTTTGGCCTTATCGGTTTTTTGGGTGCTTCTTTTGGACTTAAGAAATTTTCCTTCCGTTGAATATAAACGAGAATAAATGAAACAAGTACAGTTATCATTTTCAAAACATCCTTTATCCTTTATCGAAACATGAGTTTTTATAAAAAGTGGACTTAACAACTTTTCACTCTAAGCTAGCGATATATGCACTTATGTAGAATCATACTATTTAAATTAAGATGCTTCTACACCAACCAGCCAGCTCAAGAATTATCCTCAATTGGGTTAAAATATTTTGGGTTTTTATTGGTATCGTGAAGCACTCCTATATGTAGCACAGCGGTAGTTTTTCGAGCCCGTCAAACAAGGCACCCGGCGGTAAAACTGATGGGTGGTCGATTACGGATGGCAACCGAACTTCAGTTGCGTAGCCAGTGTCTGAAATTGTATTGCAGATGGCAACTGGCAATTGAAAGCTACCAACTGACGGCTTATTTACACTCAAATCTTGGTTGGTGGTACCTCAAAACTTGTTTATTTTCAACTTTGTAACACTTAGGGCCGGTTGTTCAATGTCTGGTTATCACTACTTGCCGGTTAAACATCATTATCGACGATTTCGACATCATGCATGTAACATGTCGTCCCGTTTCTGCCTTAACCTCGTATCTGCAATAGAGGTATTTTAGAGAGTGTAAGAAAAAATGCTTAATTTCTTCCCCTAGGATACAATAAACGCATTTTATACTTAATATTTCTGGTTCCACTAATAGTAGTGAGCAACCTCATTAAGTCTTTGTTCTATTTTCAAATAGTGTGACAGCTGTTATAAGTGGTAATATTAGTTTTCCCAAAAATTGTAGAAACGTGGTTAAGGCAGAAACGGGACGATGTGATCGATAAAGCAGTCATTGTATCTAACCGGAGCTTCTACTTCCGATTTTTGCTAATCAGACATTGAACAACCGGCCCTTAACTATAGTTGCTATTCATAATACACATTTTCATTTCAGTGGCGTTGCCCTTCGACAACTCAACTGAGGTTGCGTTGCTATTCATAATCAACCCATAGATTATAATACGCTAACTACAGTGTTGTCTACCGTTTTTTCTAAAGTTAGCTATAGTTTTCGAGATCTTTGAAATTCAAATTGAAGAGGGCTTAAGAGCCCCAAGAAGGCATTTTATACATATTTTGCTATTGTCAAAACTAATGCGCTCAAAAATATGCCAAAATATTACTTCTGTGTATGTAATATAAATATTATATAAATATTTTTAAGTGAATAAGTATTAACACAATCGTGTACGTAAAGCTAACTATTTATACATAGTACATTATAAAATATAAGTCGTAAATAAAGAAACTGGATTATATTTCTGTGCACTCTTGGCAAAACAATTTACACATATCTATAAATGTGTATGTATATTAGGGTCCATCACTCTTCATACAAAAATAGGCGGTACCAGGGAAGCCAACTCGTGGGGAATTCCCCGATTTGCGGGGAATTTCAGTTTGCGTGGGGAATCGGAGAATGGACGGTTTTTTGTGGGGAATTTCAATTCTAGTATAACAAAGTTTCAAATGGCCGTTGTTTTTTTTTTTTAGAAGTTTCTTTGCATTTGCTTTCATATAGCGAATGAACCTAATTTATTTTTATATGGAATAAAACAACGCAACAACTTAGGAAAAAATCCTAAAACGGAAATTTTTAGCCATTTGAAACTTGCACTTTATTATTCTAGAATTGAGTGGGCTACAAAACTGCATACTCAAATTATTTATAGAAACTCCGATTAAAAAGGTCGAAGGTTTGTTGAATATTTTTCAAATATTGCACAAAGTCTGAAACTAGGACTTATACAGTTTTTGTTAAAGAATAAACTATATTTTTATTAAAAAAATAACTCAAATTAAATAACAAAAAAATAATAATAATTGGTGCGAGTAAATTTTTTCGACCACTGTATGTATGTAAATATTATCTACATAAATATTATTTTGTTCTTTATTTGTGAACTACCTTTATAAAAGTTTGGTTTGGTTTATCAATACATACATAGAATAATTACGTTCAAAAATAAAAACAAAGAAAGACCAGTAATATATCAAAATAAATAATTTTTGTTTTTGTTTTTTGTAAGTAAAGGATATCTATGGGTGGGGAATTTTACGAAATTTCGGGCAATATCGGGGAATTTCATTGTCGAACTTGGGGAATTCTCGAAAATGAGTTGGCTAGCCTGGTCGGTACTATTGTTTTTCCATCCGAAAATTATTAAGATTTTCGTGAGCTGAACCAATTTGAAAGCATCTCAAAAAATCGAGTTGTTTATAAATTAAATTAATTTTTTTTTAATATTTTTTCCAAAAAATAACATCAGGTGATAGAAGTTATTAAGTTTAAAATTGGATTTTTGAAAGTATATTCAAATCGGTCCAGCTTACGTAAGTTTTTTTTCGAAATATTTTTGTGAAGTTTTATAATATAATAAACTTTATAATTCAGGTGGAAAACTGTCACTATTTCGCTGAAGGTATACATAAATACTTACATACAATGTATGTGGTTTTTTAATACTTGGCTTCATGAGTTTAATTATTTAAATATTAGATAAGAGCCAATACTTGAATTACCAGATATGGCAGGTAAACAGGCAGCATTTAAGGAAATGGCTCCGTAAGTATCACCTGCATCATCTCTGAGAAGGACCAGAATGAGGTGTCTTTTTTTTGTGGTTTACTTCCGGACAGGGTATTTTCACACATTGCTGTGCCTATTCAAGTAGCCTAGTAAAATTAGATCAAATTGGTACGAAGAAAAAATGTGTAGCAGCGATTTTTTGATGCAATTTACTTCTATTTATATTAGATAATGGATCCACAGTCTTGGCGCTAAATTTCATATGGCAACATTCCGCAATCTTGAATTTTAATTTTAGATTTTGCTTTACAACTTTTGTGCCACCGGAGAATCCAACACCAAAAAAAAGTAACAGCAGGTTCTTATATTTGTCACTCCTATTGCGAGTGTCGATTAGTAGTAAAAAACGACTGTTATTCGATTATCGCTTTTCCATGGTATTGTGAATGTCGATTTTTCGTTCAATAAGCGACTGTGAATAGTTTTTAGTCACTCATCCTTCTTCAACTGTTTGTTTGTAGAAGGATGATCGCTTAAAATTTATTCACACTAACTTGTTGAACGAGACAACGACGTTCACAATACCATGGAAAATCGATAATCGAATAATAGTTGTTTATCTACTACCAGTCGGCACTCGAAATAGGGGTGTTTGAGGTTGCTGATTACGAACCTATGTAGAGTATGATTTTAAAAATTCATAATGGCGAATCCAATATGGCGGCCAAAAAATTAACATCGATTCGGTCCGCTTGAAAGGTTTTTCTCTGGGATTCTTGGGGCCGCTTTTTACGAATCAGAGATCAGTCTGGGAAAATCAAAAATGGCCGGCTCAATATGATAGCAAGAAAAAATTAAAGTCGATCCGATTCACTTTATACGTTTTCAGGGTTGGTGATGGCATATAAAATTCTCTACAACTTTACGAATTTGAACATGGTACGTATTTTCAAAAGAAATTGTTGAAAAATGACGAAACCGTGAGGTAAAAAGGTTTAGCAGTTTTTGCTAATTATTTAAAATAAAAAAAGAAAAAACATTTTAAAACTTCATATAAAAAATGTGGAAAATTAAGTTCTCTATAAATTTTTATCCGGCCGCTGTGGTGTAGTGGTAAGCAGTGCGCGCTTTCATTCACCAGCACCTGGGTTCAAGCCCTGGTCCAAGCAACATCGCAAAAAATTTAGAAAAAAGTTTTTCTTAACAGCGGTCGTCCCTCGGCAGGCAATGGCAAACCTCCGAGTGTATTTCATAAAAATACAATCGCCGTTCGGAGTCGGCGTAAAACTGTAGGTCCCTCCGCTTTGTGTGACAATATCAAGGCGCACGCCACAAGTTGGAGGAGAAGCTCGGCCAAACACTAACATATGTGTAAGCGCCAATCTATTATTATATTATAAATTTGTATTTAACCAATTTTACGAAAAATGCAAAAAAAAACAAAAAACCTAAAATACAAGGTGGCGGAATGTTGCCATATGATTTTGTGGGGCAAGTCTGTGGATCCATGATCTACGTATCAAATAGAAGTAAACTGCAAACAAAAACTGATACTACATTTTTTTTTTTTTAAGAAAAAGTCCAATTTTACTGGGCTACAAGTGAGTAAAAAAAAATATTCAGGCAAAATGATAACCTTCTCCTTTTTTTTAAGGCGGTTTCAGATTTTTCGCTTAGTTTAATAAAAAGCGAATGCTTCAATAGCTTATTCAACCGCCGCCTTGCCTGATTATCGCTCTGCATATTCGGTGCATCGAATTAACCAAGTTTGCACAAACACTTTTCGGAATGGAATACCACGATTTTAGAATGTGGCGCAACAATTCGTCTTTATTGCTGGCTTTAAAAGGCCCGATTCTCTTCTTCAAGTCTGCCCAATGGGGTTGAGGTTTGGCGATTGAGACGGCCACTCCATAACTTGCACTTTTTCCTTCTTAAACCACTATTTTACGAGTTTCGATGCATGTTTAGGATCACTATCCTGCAGTAACTCCCACCGCAATGGCATTTCCTCTTTAGAATACGGAAGACTTATCGTCTGTAATATGTTTACATAGTCAACCGCGCACATTTCGTTCTTTATCCAAAATATTGGACCAACGCCTTCCTCAGGTAAGCAGCCACATACCATAATGGAACCAACGCTGTGCTTAACCGTTTTTTTTTCGTGTATTGTGGATCAAAGGCTGTATTCGTAGGACATTTTACGTACTGCTTTCCATCTGATCCAAAAGATGTTTTCTGGCAAAAGTCAGTTGTTTTTGTTTTTAAGGTTCAGCAACGGCACCTTTCTAGGGATTCTGGTTGGAAGTTTGGCTTCTGCCAATCTGTACCTAATGGTTCGGCTTGTTACATCTAAATTTAATTCGCAAAAAACTTGCAAAGTAGGGGAAATTGAGAGAGCAAAGTGACATTTTATTTTGAGGGGAAGCTGCTGGCTTCTGCTGGAAAAATTTTTGCCAACAGGAAAACAGCTGATCAAAAACAGCTGGTTGGCGTTTACGCAAATCACAAAATTGAATTTGATGGTTTGGATGTTAAAAATGGTTGTCTTGAAAAACTGTTTCTTATGCTCCTTTACACCAAATTAATAATACTGGTTTACAACAAAAAATGTTCAATGGATGCCACTATCCAATTCCTATATAGAAATGTCCGCTGATTCCGAAAATTTAGTTAATTTTTTTATTCTATGGATAAGTTTGCGAGATATTTTCAATTTACCGTTACTCAGTTCCACTTAAACGTAATACAATTTCGTTAGTTTTCGATTGCCGTATTTCGCATTACGGTTGTTCAATTGGTTCGTAAGATATACCTACGTGATTAAGTGGAATTTTTTTGTTTGTTTTAAGCTGAATAACGGTAGATTGAAAATATCTCGAAAACTTATCCATAGAATAAACAATTAACTCGGTCAGCGGTCAATTCTACATGGGAATTGGACAGGTGTAATTCTTCTTCTTCTTATTTGGCACTGTAACCGTCTAAGCGAGTGATTTTGCGTTGGATTGCCATGCTGACATTATTATCGGTGTTAATGCTGGTTCCCAAGTAAACGAAATTCTCTACTTTCTCGAAATTATAACTGTCAACAGTGACAGGAGATACTTCGTCTTGTCCTCGTTTATCACCAGATCCATTCGCTTTGCTTCTTGTTACCGAAGATGTCGATGTCATCGGCGTACGCCAGCAATTGCACGCTCATGTAGTAAATTGTTCCTGAGCGGCTGAGTTCTGCAGCTCTTATAATCTTCTCCAACATCAGATTAAAGAAGTCACATGAAAGGGAGTCCTCCTGTCTGAAAGTACGTTTGGTGGCGAACGACTCGAAGAGGTCTTTCCCAATTCTGACGGAGCGGGTGGTATTGCTCAAAGTCATTTTACACAGCCGTATCGGCCGTATTTGGCCGGGGATGCCAAATTCAGACATAGCAGCGTATAGGCAACTCCTTTTAGTGCTGTCGAAAGCGGCTTTTAAGTCGACAAATAGGTGGTGAGTGTCGATCCTTTTCTCGCGGGTCTTTTCCAAGATTTGGCGTATTGTGAATAGCTGGTCTATGGTGGATTTGCCAGATCTGAAGCTACACTGATAAGGTTCAATCAGTTCGTTGACAGTGGGCTTCAGTCTTTCACACAATATGCTCGATAAGACCTTGTAACTATGCTTAGAAGGCGGATCCCGCGGTAGTTAGCGCGAATAACGGGGTCGCCTTTCTTGTGGATTGGGCAAAGCACACTTAAATTCCAGTCGTTGGGCATGCATCTGACCATATTATGCATAAGAGTTGATGCATACACCTTATCAACTCCTCGCCACCGTACTTGAATAGCTCAGCTGGCAGGCTGTCAGCTCCAGCAGCTTTGTTGTTTTTCAGTCGCGTTATTGCTGTTCGTACCTCATCATAGTCAGGCGGAGGAGCATCGACTCCGTCATCATCGACTGGGGGATCGGGTTCTTCTTCTCCACAACTTTCCAAGCTGCTACCATTCAGTAGGGTGGAGAAATGGTGTAATTGCTAGTCTTTTTAAATTATATACATTATCTACAACTTTATAGCATTTTATGATAGTTGCGTCTCAAAATTTCGTTTCAGCGGCGTGGCAAGTCCTTTGAGATTGGATTGCTATACATAGTCGTCCCATTTAGTTAGCCATTCAAAAATAAATCAAAATCAAATTTGTTTTCCTTCTTGCATATCCTTGAACGCTGCATTGATTTACTAAAAGTATACCTAATGCTAGACGCGAGGGGTGGCGTTGTACCACCAACCCTTGATTCAATTTCTGACAAAAGAGTAAAAGCTTCTTAGAAAAATTATTTTGTCTTTAGGCCAGTATAATGTTAATGCATTTGCACGTGCAGCACAAATTAAAGCAGAAGCTCGTTATAAAAACTTATCAAAAATGCATTCGCCACACTAGATAGTGTTAAGATAAAGAAATAAAAAATATGGGATTATTATTTAAATATATTTTAAATCAAATAGATCTAAATAAATAACTAACAGCCTAATAATTCTAATATCTTATCAAATAAAATAATTGCACACCCATGCATACATACATACATATGCGCGCCATAAAAAATATCACCAAACACTTACACTGAGCTACTGCTAACAAGTTCGCTTGATATGGAACGTAGGCTGAAAGATTCTTCTTAATTAAAACAGTTTGCTGTTGACACGCGCAAATTGAAATTCATTTGATGCAAATAAATCAAATAAAAGAAACGGAAGTTACCCAAGTACTTATACATATTTATTTGTATAGTTTCCTCATCAATACATTGTAAACATATGTATTCGTTTTTTTTTTTGTTCACTCTTTTACTTTAAAAAATTACATAGAGTAAAATGTAACTATTAAGCAAGCAGCAACCATTTTTAGCTTCATATTTTTGATTTGTATGCAAAATATTAGAAATTACTTATATATGTTGTTTGGTACTGTTTTGTGCACATTATAAATGCAGATACATCCTTTAACTTAATTATTTGGGAATGGTTTTTTTTTATAAATAAACTTTACAAAGCAACAATAACGTAGGAAAACCATCGTGAAAAAATTGTCCCGCTTTTTCTCTTTAGTTTACTGTTTAAAGAAATATCTGTATAAAAGTGTAGCCACTAAGCCAAGCACCAATGGCACCAACCATGACCGCATAGATGAATCTTCAGTTTTTTGATCGGCATTCCATGAGGGTTCGGATTTTTGAGGCACATTTGTCCGTTCAGCTTCAACAAGTTCACCAATTTTGTATTTCTTCATCATTTCACGCGCATCAGAGCTGTGACCGACATCTTCGAAATTCTCTGTAGCTTCCTTGCCGGCTTGTTCGATCAGAACTTCTTCGCCACCGGGGTGCTATAATTTGGAGTATGAAAAAAGAAGAACATTAGCGTGTGCTCAAATGGAACGAATTTATACTACATATGTATACCCAGTCAAAGTTTGCTTATTGTAAATTTTCGTTCCCGTTGACTATATCTGTGCCCGTCAGTTTAAGGGTGCTTAAGTGAATTTATGTAGAAGGTTTAACTTCGAATTAAAAAGAATAAGCTTCCCTTGCTTCTGTTAAAAGGGTATCTTAAACTACAGTTATGACTAGTCAAGTGTATGACTAGAATGAAGTATTGCTATATAAGGGGAAAATTGCCTATCTAGAATTAAGCTATTAATTAACCCTATGGCACAGATAAACATTTGATCGCACGTTTTATAATACATACATATAGAAAACTATTTCAAGATATCAATTTTGTACGAAAACGCAATCAACGTTTGATCAATTCAAAATGTTGGTATAAAAAAAGACAGATGGAAAGACACATATCTTCGCCCTTTTTAGTAAGTGTAGTTAACCGATGGACTGAATATAACCTTATCGACTTATTAATTGTATATTGAAATCTGCAAAAACCTAAATTTTGAATTACTTCTCTATATCTATTATTAAACGTGCGATATGGACATCTATTTCTGATAATTTTATTTGTATACAACTTTGTGTGCGTTATATTTTTAACCGACTTCACAAAAAGGAGAAGGTTATCAATTCGTGGGAATATTTTGTTTATGTATGTTATCGCATAACTTTGGGCCACGTTAACCGATTTCTCGAATTCTTTTTTTAAAGGAAAGGTGTTACCTCACAGGTGGTCCCATAATAATTTGGTTTAAAGCCGATTTGATTTAATTTGTTTTTGTTATTTTTATGGCTTTATAACAATCATTATACAATTTTAAATGAGAATTGAAGTCGGTTTTGTTTTTTTGCTTAAAAATAACTTGTACTTACAAATAATGGCTACTTAAAGCATTTTTTGCTATGTAAATTTATGAACCAAGTAGATTTAAAAATTGGATTTCAAATGTAGTTCTTGTTTCAATTATGAGTTTCTACCCTTTTCGCTTATTTGAACTTCGGCAGAAAATTAGCATTTTGTTGTAATACAAGCATATCATTGAATAATAACTATATAGGTATATATGTATATGCGCGTTTATATTGTATTAGGTGTGTATTTACACATCAATTGGATGCGCAAAGCAAAAACGCGTTTGCATCTATTTGCATATTGTATGAGAATGTATATATGTACTTACATATGTACATGAACGAAAACTGCGACAAGACCACAGAGCCTAAAATAAATGGAATTAACAAAAAAAAAAAAAAAACCGGGCCCAGTTGAGTTGGAAAGACCAGGTGGAGAAAGATTTGGCTTCACTTGGCATTGCAAAAGAGAAACGACTGGCTTGCTGTTTTGCCCTCGGCCAAAACCGCCTAAGCGGTTACAGCGCCAAAAAGAAGAAGAAGAAGATCGATACGTTTCAAAGAGATGATTTTCTAAGCTGAATATTCACATATCGCTCATTTCCTTCAACTGTGTCATAATCCAAAAAATACAAAAATTTCGTTAAGTAGTATTCAGAAACTACCGATGCCTCTTCTTCTATGTTGTAAAAAAGTTTATAGTGTATCGATTAAAAGTATTTCACTATAACAAAATATGTATTCATTTTTACTACGGCAGTATATGTAAATTCGAAAGTTTAAAGCCGTTTATCTGGAGTGTTGCTTATTTGTGTTAATACACAATTGAAGCAAATGAGCGATAAGTACATGCATACATATGTATATCTGGCATCAGTTTCATATTTAAACAGTTCAATATTTTGTGAGTGTATTTTTAACGGACATATCGCTCATTTATTTCATTAGTGTCATAACTCAAAAAAGCAAACCTCGAGAAAAACGGCTTTAAAGTTATAAATTTACATATCGCACACCGCATTCAAACGAGGCATAACTCAAAATTACACGTTTGTCAGAAAATGCGAAAAACTATTTCCTAGCACATGATAATAATATGGGCAAGGGAGAATTTACCTTAGGTTTTTTTTTTTAAACAAATTATAACAAAAATTTGCTCCAGCTTTAGCTGAAAGGTGAATAAAAGCTTTATGTACATTTTCAGCACAATATATCAAAAATTCCAAATTTTGGTTTGTGCCTCTTTTGAAGACGGTGTGCGATATGTATAAGCCCGTGGTAAAAATGAATACATATTTTTTTCTAGTGAGACACTAGTAATCGATACAGTTATGAAATTTTTGCACAACTTAGAAGAGGCAGCGGTAATATCGGCATTCTTAACTCAATATTTGCATTTATTGGATTATGACTCTATTGTAGTAAATTAGCGTTTCTTACTGATCTCTAAAAAATAATTTAGTATTTATTAATAATTGTAGGTATAACATGCTCGCGTATGTAAGGAATATGTTATACATACATACATACATACATGCATATAACAGAACTGATATGAAATGAGTATTTCTAGTTAATTATAGTCACCTTTAATTGTATAAGAAAATGGTATGTATGTGTGTACATACATAACTAATTTTAATTGCCCAGCAGCAATTTTGTTGTTATTGTTGCAATTTCGCGAAGGCATCCCCTTGATAAGGTATTACATAACAGTTGGTAAGCAAGTGTATATCACATCTCAACATCACTACACACAGAGTGAGTGAGTGCTTCCAGTACTTCTTCTCGAAAAGTGAGTAGGCAACGTGTAAAGCAAATAAACTGGCATTAGCTGCACAAGTTTGAAAATAGACTAAGTTACGATTATAACAAATTTGATTCAAATAAACATTTGAAAACACCTGAACATGCTGTGGCTCTGGCTGAGTATGCTGATTTTTGCTACTATTTATTAGGTGCAATCCCGTATTCCTCGGACTCCGACTAGTAAAACTGTCAAAAAATAAAAATTCGCTCAGAGCGAGAGTGTAACATTGAAAAGTACGGAATCGCTTTCTAGTAAAAAAATGGTAGCTTCTATCAACTTCAACATAACCTCCAAATTTTGGTTGTAAATTTTTGCTTATTTTGTATGTAAACACACTCAGCTCACACATGTAAATAACCAAAAATACTTTCAAATTCATTAGAATCCACTTAATCAAGTAATTAAATACTTTTCAACATGAATTAGCAGAGTGCACTTTTCTTTTATTAACAATTTGGTTGCCAAACACACTGCAGCTGATCGTTTGACACATTTACCACAATTTACCAGCAAAAAATTCTCGGACTAAAACTGGTAACTTCTGACAGAGAGAGAACCGTATTTACTGTATTTTTTGTCCTCTCAATAGTACGGGATCGATTTCCAGTAAAATCTGACTGATTCTGACTATTTCTGACTAGTCCGGACTCGTATGGGATCGTAACTATTAGCTTTCAGGAGGCCCCAATGCTCGAATCCCGTTAAACCCAATGTATAATATTTCACTTTTGTTATTGGTTTTTCTTAATTACGAAAAAGCATCTGTGAAATGCAGAGCAAAATCGCATAGAAATGAAAAAAACTACGCATAAAAAATAAGACCTTCTAAGAGCTGTTCTCACGAAAGCGAAAACGCAATGCCTTGCAATTGGGACCGTTTCATATACAAAATAATTAAAGAAATCATCGAGATGGTAAGGCCCTCTACATTCTTCTTTTTTCTACTAGGTAATTTTTCAGAATTATAATCTTTCAAGTACATATATATACGTGCCGGTTTTTTATCACGTTTAAGGATAACAGACTTCATTTAAAATTAATCTTTTCGAATGCTCTTTCCCTGTGCGACACGCCTTAAACGTCTCCAATCGGGACCAAAATTTATATGTGTTATCTTCGACTATAGTAGCATCGACTTAGGGGCTTAGGAAATTTGATGTAAAAATTTGCTTCCTGGATTTAAGGGCCACCCTAATGTATACACATACATATTATGTACCCACTAGTATTACACCGTGCAACAGTAAATTTTACAAAAAAAAAATAATACAGACTATGGGTAAATTGTAGTAAAACTGCGTACTTAGTTTTTCTCTCTGACGTCAGGATTTTTTAAAAGGACTTTGAAATTTTAAAAATTTCAAAAATTATTTAAAAGATTCACTGCAATGTAGGATAACAATATGGGTATCATATAAAAGAAAAAATTCTTTAGAATTATAGCAGAATACATTTTTTGGTGCATAAGGACGAGTGGGTATGGAAAATGTCCGTTACAAATTTTGTACTTAAATATCTTTGAAAATTTGCATTTTTTTTTTTTTTTTTTTTTTGGGAACTATTATCATCGAATTTCGTCCTGCAAACTTTATTAACTTAAGATAAAATATCCCAGTAGATAATTTCAGGAGTTAAATGCCCTTCCGAAAGGCCTTCCACTCTACATACCTTTCTCCTTTCTTTTTTGTATGGAGTGACACAAATTGAAGGCCTTCCTCTTTCGCTACCCATAGAAGGCCTTCCAGAAGGGCCTTTATAGGACGTGCTTCAGAAGGCCTTTTGGAGGAGATCTTTTAAAGTTGCTTCTTTAATTTATAAAATTCATACTTCTTTGAAGTATTTGCTTAAGGTTTATATCAAATTTGTGTTATTGTAAATTAAAATGTTTATTAAAATTCATTTGTTATGCTTAATAATATAAATTTATGCATTCGCGTAAATTGTAAATGGATAAGCCCTTCTAGAAAGCAATCAAGGAAGTACTTTTTCAGCCCTTCTCGGGTAGGCCTCTTATAATGGCTTCACTTAAGAAGGCCTACCTAAATTATCTTCTGGGTTTCAATACCTATTCCTCCAAACCAAAAAGCTTTATTGTTTTTAAATTCCTATATTGTTATTCTACTTTGCACTGATTTTTTAAAATATTTTTTTTTAATTAATCGTATCTTTTAAATTTCAGTCTTTTGAAAAAAAATCCTGACGTCAGAGTGAAAAACTAAAAAAGCAGTTTTACTACATATATATTTGGCCCATGATACAAAAAAGAAGGTAGTTTCATTTAATGACATTCGTTGTTGTTGTTAACTATTTGACTTTTAAAAAAATTATAACATTTCATCAAATTCATGCTACCTGATCACTAGAAGAAATATTTTTTTTTTTAAGCAGACGATTTTACCAGTACATTCAAAAGTGTGGAATATGATAAACTAGAAAATTATGCCGGCTACATGATTTCGAAAATGGGTTTGACGACAAGGTTTCAGAACGCATGAAGAAAGTATATACTTACATATCGTCGCTTAAAGTACAAAACCGCGTATCGTCGTTCTGCAAAACCGCGTAACTGACATTTTTCTCACACAAGCTATTGGCTCAAGCCTTATCCATTCGTCCTGAAATGCAATTTCTTTGTAAAAAAGAGTACCATTTTGAGAGAGTGTTTTTACTCTCTACAAAATAATTTATGCAACCACACATACGCAGTTGTGTATTTTGTTGATACACGGTTTTGTACTTTAAACGACGATCGTGTTAGTTGTTTATCGGAGGGCGGTCTGTTCAAGCCGATTTGTTGTTGTAACAGCATACAAACTCCCCAAAGACTTTTTGGGGAGTGTTGCTGGAGTGACAGTCCTTGGCCAGATATAAATCTGGGTCGTTCCGGTTACGTAGACCCGACTGTCGTGGGAACGTTCAAGCCGATTTCAGGTGTTTTGCTTAAATTAAATTATTGTTATTTTTTTGTTTTCTTATTTTAGATGCAATCTTGCGATTTAAAAATCGATTTCTAAAGAAGGTTCTTCGCAAATGAAACCTTTTTATATTTTGGTTCAAATTTACTTTTTAATTTCTCATCAGCGCATTACCATTAAATTTCACAAATTTTTAATTTAATTTAAGTTTTGCTTAAATTAAAAATTTGTGAAATTTAATGGTAATGCGCTGATGAGAAATTAAAAAGTAAATTTGAACCAAAATATAAAAAGGTTTCATTTGCGAAGAACCTTCTTTAGAATTCGATTTTTAAATCGCAAGATTGCATTCAAAATAAGAAAACAAAAAAATAACAGAATGCGCGCGTGGTTTTAATTATAAAATGAAAAGAACAATTACGATAGTCTCCTTTAACAGTTTACGTTTTAAATATTTTTAATAAAAAAAGGTGCGAACCACGTAAGTAAAAAAGTACCAAGCACTGATAATGGTTTTTGATTTGAAATGTTATTACATTGGTATAAATATGGGAAAGAAAATACTTCGATTTATTGTTTTAATATTATCGAAGTGGCAAGGCCGTTGATAATACTCACAATTTATGAAACTTCAGAAAATTGTATTATCCGTCAAAAGTAGTTTATTGAAATTACCTTCTATTTTATTACCTTCCTTTTAATAGCTCGGGATGTAACTATGTAATATTGATGCGCCTAAAAGATGCAGCGATTTCTTTTCTCAAGTTACATACCTGATGGCAATTATAATAGGGAGGTTTTAGTTTTTTAAACAATTTGTCTGTTCCTTTGAACTTCGGACTAAAACCTGTAGAACTGTCCAACTACAATTTTGCTCTCTCAAGTGAGAGTAAAAGGAGAACAGATGCAGAAGGGCACGGGAACGCAAAAAGCACTATTTCCTGTAAAAACGTCAGTCGGTTTGTTTACATGTCATTTGTACAACAACACAAAAATATATTTTATAAATTTAGTTATAAAATATAGAATAAATAAATAAATAAATAGATTATTAAAATCTATACATATTCAAACATTTCGTTGTTTACTTCCATTTTTTACAAATAGTTATAAGGTTCTTTGCTTTCACCGTTTATTGTTTTTGTTTGCACATGCAAATCAGCTGATCATTTGACACTTTTCATGAACTTACAGGAAAAGAAACTCCGGACTAAATCCTGTAGCTTCTGACTAGGAACAGTTGCTCAGTTACTCTCTCAAAAGTGTTCCCACTTACAGGTTTTATGTCAATAGGAACGACTTCCTGTAAGTTCTGACTAAATCCTGTAAACCGGACTGCTATTGGAACAGACTAATCATGTATTTGGCCCATAGTTTCGTGAGTATATACATAGATTCTTTCGTGTACTTTGAATTTTTTTTTTTGTTTTTGTCGCACGGTGTTATCATTGGCAGTGACTTAGCAAAACTTTTAGTATTTGATAAGATTTTAAGTACATATGTATGTAGTTACAAGAAATATATGGCACTCTAATGATACTATTGCGATTAGTGAAAAATCACTAGTTAACATTAAAATATCAAAATTATGTTTAAAATTAAAAAGACAAAAGAAACGAATGGATTAAGACCATGATTGCAGTTGCCACTTTGACCCAGAAAACTGCATGTTACAAATTTGCAAAATACATAGTGGCTTCAAAAGAAAACCGCATATACTACGTAAATAATAATGTGTACATACATATATTCGAAATGCAAATATGGATTTGAATAACCTATGGGTTAATGAAGGAACTCAAACGCCTTATTGAGTAATACAAATTCACTGTAAAACTCGCAAATAATCCCATGCTGGTGAATCGAAACGAGCTGACAACAGCTAACATGCAATAAATAAAGTTGGAATTGAGAAGTGTGACGTGAAAATTACACTTCAGTTTTTTTTTTTTTTAATGAAAGCAAATAACAGTAATGGAGGCAAATTTTAAAATCAATCTCGAGTAGTGGTCAAATTTTAGAAACAAATCCGTACCGTTTATAATAATAGATGCTTGATATATATCTGACTTACAAGCACATAAATACCGAAAACAATTAAACCCATTAAATTGCCGAAGGGAGCAAAGTACATTTTTTTCAAACGGCTAAGATCTTTGGCGGTGCGCTAGGTTGTTTAGAGGAATATTGGCTCCGCTATTGTTCTAACTAGCTGACTTGGGCGCTGGCACGCACACAATGCATATATCAACGAATTTAGAAATACATAGGCGATATGTAGTACATACACACAAATACGTATATGCATATTAAACTGATAGTGATTGTCAACCTCACATCCCAACTGATATAAAATGCACACACTTACTAAATTTCAATTACCTTAACTTCACTTCTGATTAGAAAACTTGAGGTTAAACTGAGAATATTTTAACGGAGGGACGTTAACGCGCAATTTGTTAACAAATTAACAAAATTTGTAAATTAAAAGTTCAATTGGTATATTCACTTTTGTAAACTATTATACCATCTAAGAGAATAGGTTTTTTACATAGCCTCGAATCTACGCCGTAGATACTACAAAGCTGCCGATGATTATTGGAATTTATGTGCACACATTGAACATCTGAGCCGTGGTTTTTTGTTACTTATATGGTTTCTATTTATTTTAATTATGCGAACCCACTTACCTCATTTAAAAACGCTGATACATCGTACACGTTATTGTGGATAATCAGCCAGGTGTTTTTATTTGTGTTGTGTTTCGAAATTTCCTCGCGTGAGTACAATTTTACTTCACCTTCGGCAGCCATTATAAGTTGTATATTAATATTCTTTAGTAGTTCTAGATTTATAAAAAATGCAATTGCTGAAATTTGACTTTCGAACGATCCAAGAATTGAAAATGAAATAATTGAAATCAGCGCACACGAAAGGTTGACGTTGTCGAAAGTCGAAATGACTAGAGATGGGATACTATCGATTGTGTCGATAGTTGAAAACTGTCGCCACTATCGAGAGTTTTTGAAAACCATCGATGTCGGGTTTAGCGAAACTCCACAATGTCTCTTCTTTCATCTTTACACTTTACACAAATTTTTTTTACGCTAGAAAGTTCACAACACAATCTTAAAAAAAAATAAGTCATTAGAATTTTTAGCAAATATAAGCTTAAACTGAGTCATGGTAAAATTTAATAAGCTATAAAACTGCTTACACAAATTTTTTATAGAAATTCGAATTAAAAAGATTGAAATATTAATGATTTACTTTTATAAAAAATTAGTAGGCACTGAACACACAAAAAATGGTCCAAATTGCTGAAACTGTTGTGGTGCTATTACTTTGACCAGGGCATGAATCACGTATGACGACAATCGTCTGGATGATATCGTGCTGAGATTGTCTTGTTTCATGAAAACCAAAAATTGTTCGATCGTTTGTGCGAAATCGTCCACACAATTCCAATTTTGCTTCACGTAACAGTAACAGTAACACGTAACAGCAACGCAAATACATGAATCAATGTTTTGATGACATCGTTTTGTCCGTATCGTTTGAACAACAATCGTTTCAAAGTTACGTGATTCATGGCCAGTACTCCATTCGTTTTCTTATAATATGATAAAATGTTATTAATTTCCCTTGTTCGGACTTTTATAGTACTATCGATAATATCGATGTTTTCAACTATTGTTTCGAAAACTATCGAGTGGCAGTACTATCGACAGAATCCCAGTGCTAGAAATGACGTCGCTGTTCGAATGTCGAAGACCATTTATACATGGTTGCATTTTTAGCACAGGGTGTTCGCAGAAATTATTTTATGTAGTTTGCGCAAACTAGAATAAATAGAAAGCTTGCTCAAATATACCCAACCGATTTTATACCATGCTCGAATCGACAACGAAAACACTTTGAAAACGAATTTTGGGAATGTGGGGTGTAAGCTGTTCGCACCGTCTGTTAGTGTTTTCGTCGTTCTTTCGGTTTTCTTTTCAGTTTTACTACGAAAAAAA